AAAAGTTTAGTAAAAAAATTATTATTTCAACACTAATCAATTTTGATTAAAATTAATCAAACCTGATTAAGATTAATTAGAGCCAAATTAATCTCAAGTTTTATTGAGTTTCACATGTTTTATAGTGTAAAAATTTATTTTTTTAAATATTTCTCATCGATGTGAAATATATTTATAGTGTAAAATCTTATTTTTTTATGTGTTTTTTTATCGATATGGGATGCATTGATTAGAGAAAATTGACAATTTTTACTGACAAAATATATTTTTAGTAATGAATTATTTGGTCATTATTGAATGTGTAAGGTATATGTGATCAATATTAGAATTTTGTCATAATTGTAATGAATTATTGTAACAATTTTTATCGATAAAAACCTATTTTATTTCTATGAACATTTTTCAATGACGAAATATATTTTTTATGATGATTTTTTTTCGTCATTAAATATATATGCATCTAGGACTAATTTTTTAGATATATCATAATTATGATAAATTATACTGATGATTTCAAAATTTATCATAAATTTTTGTCACTAAAAATCATTTTTTTATAGTGTATTTTATCTCTGTTTATTTTTAAATAACAAAAAATGGTTTTAGTAATGATTTATTTTTCGTCATTATTGAACACAAGTATTTGTGATCATCATTTGAAATTTGTCAACATGATGAGGAATTGTAATGATGATTTTAATCATCACAAGTCAATATTATCTTTATGATAATTTTTTAGCGATAAAATATATTTTTAGTGATGATTTTTTTATGTTATTGTTGAACATTTGGTTATATGTGATCAATATTAGAATTCTGTTATAATTATAATATTATAGTGACAATTTTTATCAACAAAAACCTATTTTATCTCTATGAATATTTTTTTGTGACAAAATATATTTTTTATGATGAATTTTTTTCATCATCATTAAATATGTGTGCATCTATGACTAATTTTTTAGATTTGTTACAATTGTGATAAATTATAATGATGATTTCAAAATTCATCACAAATTTCTGCCACTAAAAACCATTTTTTTTGTAGTGAAGGTGAGTTACCTAGTGTAACTATGACAAATCAAGAAGAAGATGTAAACACTTTACACTCGGAGATTGAAGGACAACTTGAAAAAGTGGAAAGCATACCTGCAGAAACCAATCAAGAGGATGTCCTTAGGGAAGAAGAGGAAAATGCTCAAGTGTCATTTGAAGTGTTCAATGGGGAGTCTCCTTTAACCAAATTTGATTTTAATGATTATTTTGTTATTGATATGGTTGATGAGATTTTACAGGAAAACACTTATGAGGATCCATTTGAGATTTATCTTCTTCAAGCAAATGACCCAATCAAAGAATACATTAATTGCTTGAATACACAATCATCTTCCTTGGAATCAAAGGGGGCACTCCTAGAAGAATTGGGAAGGCACATCTCTTGGCCTAAACCCAAACCACCTCAAAATAGTCATTGGAGAAAATCTCATGGTGGATTCAACTTAAGGGCAAAGAAGCCAAGATTTAAGAAAATGAGAGGACATGCCCTATGACTTGATCCAAAACCACCTTGGAGTGGTAGAAAATCTAGCTAATGACTATAAATTAAGTGCTTATTAGGAGGCAACCCAAGCATAAAATTTTCTTTTCTTTTATTTCTTTGACTTTCATTTTAGTAGTTTAGATTTTTTTCTCTTTATGGCCTAGGTTAATGCATAAATTGTTGCTCTTTGAGTTTGGCCAGGTCATTGAACAAGTTTGGGGGACAAGATTATGGAAATTCACATGCTAAAAGTCTCCTCTAAATGAAGACAACTTAACTTCAGAATTTAAATTTTAAGTCTTCAAGTGCAAAACCTGGGAAGTTTCTCTTTTCTTTTACTTTTATTTTACATTGAGGACAATGTGTGATTTAAGTTTGGAGGAGAGAATAACTTTTAGGCATCCATTATTATGTTAGTTTGCATTCATATTTGCATGACATATTTTTATTTTTTAGAAATTAGGGTATTTTTTCTAGGAGTTGGTTCAATTAGTGTCATGGAATTGAACATTCTTGAGTTAAAACTTTTAAAATTTTTGAATCTTAGAAGAGATACAAATTTAAAAAATAACACCATTATGATGAAGTTTAAGTTCATGAGTATTCTATTCTACTTGAGCACAAGTTTATAGTGAGAAGTTTAGAGGAGAGACTTAGTAGCATCTAAAAAGCACATAAAAAAAAAAAACAAAAAAAGAAAAATAAGCAGACACACAAAAGAGTTTGTTAATTTCTACTCCAATGTTTCTAGTTGCTTAGTAACTAAGAGTTAGGCATGAAACCCATGTCAATTTTCATGTCAAATGGTGACTTGAAATATGAGTATGCAAAGAACTTTGAGTTTATGACTTGTTGAGTAACCGGGTACTTTCATCATAAATGTTACTATTCGCGTCAAAAGGCAAGTGATAGCTTTGAGAAGAATGTGTTGTATGGTTGAAAAAAAAAAGTCGAATGTTTCGTGGCCTTTGTTACTTGAGTAAGTATGTTCTTAGGGGTGTCTTTTCACCTAATGCCCTAAAGCCAACTGGCTTGGGAGCCATTAGTAGAAAACTTGTTACATGGGTAACTTAGAAAGCCTAAGAAAACTCAACATAATATATATATATATATATATATATATATAAAGAAAAAGAAGAAGAAGAAAGAGTGGAGAAAAAGGAAAAAATATTAATAAGCGTTAAAGGTGTAAAGGTCTAAACTCAAGACTTCTTATTATGAATTTTCACACACACACACACCAAGTGCTCATGAGTTAAATCTTTTGATAAGTGATGTGAAAAATAGGATGAAGTATTTGACTTTAAGTGAGTGTATGAGAACTCTTGAATATTTAAGACTTTGTATTTAATTGAACTTTAATTCCTAAATTTTCTTTGCATGCATATCATGTATTTTCATTCTTGCATTGGGATTTTGTGGGTAGATCCGCTGAAAACCCTCACGAGACACAACTCGTCCACTAGGGTAACCTAGGGGTTTAAAGGCTTGTTGCACATGCTAAGTGCAATCTTGATTTATACGAAATTGAGTTAGGTTTTATTTTTGTTTCTTTTGTCTTTTTTTTTTTTACTCGAGGATGAGTAAAACTTAAGTTTGAGGGAATTTGATAAGTTGAATTTGTATACATATTAATGTGGAATTGTTGCCTTGATGTTATTGATATTTGGATTAGTTTTATGAGATTTTACTGAGTTTTACATGGTTTTCATTCTTTGAGCAGAAAAGGACTTGAATGCATAAAATAAGAGTTTTTGAGATTAATTGAACATCTTTTGAAAGTTGAGCGACTGAATTGCAAGAAGAAGGCCCCTTTGGGACTTCAATGAATGATTCTTGAGGTTTGGGATCTAAGTGCTCATCATACAAAAGATGGAGGACCAGATTTGCTATTTTACCATTGAAGAAACCACAAAGAGAGACTAGAAACCAGTGAAGTTAATACCGTACCGTACCGGTTTTGGCATTTGACCGAAACGGTGCAATGTCAATTTTCGTTTCGGTCAAATTTCGACCGGTACACACTGCAAATTAAAAAAAAAAAAAAAGATTCCCCTAGCCCAAAACGACGTCGTTTTGGGCTAAGGGCTTTTCATAACCTGCAACTGTATC